CTCATTTTGAAATGGCACCTAAACCATAAAACTAATGTATCCAGGCCAATTTCTGAATAAAATCAAACTCAACTAACCAAACTTCAAGCTCCTCTTAATTAAAAAATTAAAAAAAAAAAAAAAACAGAAGCATATGTTGCTTTACATCTAAGGATTGCAGCCCTCGAGTCTTTGTCACAGAAGAGGTAGAAAACTAAATAAATTTACCTTTGGCAGAATCTTGACAATCTGTTTCATTTCCTCCTCAAAGTTTGCTTCCAATAACCTGTCAGCTTCATCAATCACAAGGCACTGCAAGTCCAGGACAACAATGAAATCAAAGATTGACAAATTTCTGTGATGTCATGATGTGGTACATCTCAATCAAAGATATTTAGCTTAACCACATCAAGAAGCTAATTCTTTTCTCTAACATAACAACACAAACTGCAGTAGGATCAGAAAATACGGCTCAATATTTCAGTAAAAGGATTAACAACAACAGCAGAATATTCCGAAGTCAAGGAAACAGTAGTTAGAATTTGCTTCCAATCAGAAAGTCAACTGTACCCATCAGAACCATTTCAGAAAATAACCACTGAAAAACATTTTGAAACAACTAAAACAATATTTCTGACGAATAGATGTGAAGCACCTTCAAGTTCTTATATATGAATCCCTTGGTATTCTGGAGATGGTCAAGAAGTCGACCGGGGGTTGCAACCAATAAATTTACTCCTTTTACAATACGTTCTGCTTCCCCTCTCCTAGCTGAACCTCCAATAACCAAGCCAAGAGTCTGAGAGTGATACTTTAGAAGGTCCTTTGCCACAGCATGAGTCTAAATTAATTGCAAAAGAAAAATAGTCAGAGACGAATAAAGGGGTTCAATGGTAAATCCCACGATGCGACGTTATAAAAAAGTCTCTTGAACTGGACCAAGCTCCATCATGATATTGGAAGAAAATTTAACATGTCGCTACAAAAAAGAACAAAATGCAGGGGTTTTCACCTGTATTGCAAGTTCCCGTGTTGGGCAAATCACAACAACACCCATTCCGTTACGAGGAGCAAAATGTGTGTTATATAGCAGCTCCACAGCTGGTATTAGAAAAGCAAGAGTTTTACCGGACCCTGTCCTTGCAGCTCCGAGGACATCTTTTCCAATCAAGAGCGGTGGGATTGCTCTAGCTTGAATCTGCATTAGTAATATATTGTATATTCAATTCATCCCAAATCATCAACAACTTTTTTAGAACTGAAAACTGAAAGATATCTCAACGAACACACACATTTCTCATCAAGTACAAACCCTAAAATTCTCTGAAATTAGTAAGTTCTCAATTCGTATAAAAAAAACATACTTTTCGATCAAGTAACTCATAATAAGAAATCCCATAAACAAAAGGGAACTTTAACGAAAAACTACTAGTACCGTTCACTTTAACGGAAAACTATATTTTCGATCAATCATGGTTATTTTCGTTCTTAAACAAAATTAGGCTAGAAGTTACCGAAATCAAATTCGAGACGGCAAATTACCTGAGTCATATACTGAAACTTCATTTCTTCAATGGCCTTGTAAGTGTTCTCAGACAAGTTCAACGAAGCAAACGACTCTGTGGTCATAATCCCAGTCCCTCCACCGCCACTATTCACCTTCTTCTTCTTCTTCTTCTTCTTCTCCTCCTCCTCCTCCTCTTCCTCCATTGCTTCTTCCCTCTCCTCATCTTCTTCATCTTTGTCCTCGACGGGGCTTTGATCCTCAACTTCCTCTCCCTTCAATTTCTTCACCTTCTTCCTCTTCTTCTCACTCTCGCCCTTAGCCGGTTCGCCGTTAGGGTTTTGAGGCTCCAGATATTCTTGTTGCTCTACACCCGCCAATTCCGACGGTTTCTTTGCTCTGTTTCTCTTGCGCTTCTTCTTCTTCGTCTCGTCCTCCGAAGGCGCGTGAAGGTTTGGGTCTGTCATTCCGACTAGTTCTCCAAGGAATATGGGTTTGAATTGGGGTTTCACAGTTTCAGGGGGCGCAGAGGAAGAAGACGAGCTTTCTCTCGCAGCACAGAGACGTTGAGAAACTGTGGAGATTTCCGTAGGGTTTGGGCGTTACTTGTTAAACCCTAGCTGCGACTGTACTCGCTCAACTCGAACAGCCACAAACCCAAAAGCCCTAGGCCTCAGCCTCTTAATAGAACTAGTCATTTGGGCCTCACTCGGTGTTTAAACTTTCCAAGTTTTGAAGCAAAACGGCCCAACGAAAGCTCTTAACTAACTGAGATTTAATCATCTCAACAATTTACTCGTGAAAAAGAAAATATGCGGGATAGTGACTTCAATAAAAAATTTTTATGGAAAACTAATGAAATGGTTTGAAAGTTTGAGTTTTAACGATAAGGGCAAAATAAAGGGTAAAGTAAATATTACTAGGATTGACTTTTTAGTGTAAAAATGTGGTTTTTCGTTAAAATGAACATTACCAGAAATTTTTCGTTAAAGTTTCTTTTTTTTTTTTTTTTAAATGTTATGCCTATTTTCTATTAATCTTCACTGTTGATTTTATTAACAATTACAAAACTTACAGAATGTGTACGAGGTGAGAAAAAATGTGTTAAAAATCATTTTCTTGTTCTTAATTAGCACATTCATAACATACCATACCATTTTATGATTTGGTGGGGAAAAGTTGAATGCATGTATGAAAGATGTGGTGGCACCAAAAACGCACCAAATAATGGTACTTTGTTTGAAAGCAAACCATGCTTTAATCATAAGGGAATCATTTTATTATATTCAAATTACACACAAATTACTAAATATAAATATGATTATGACCTACTACTCCCACTTTAATATACTCACCAATTTTCATAATTCAGTTGCATGATGCTCTGAGTTCAAATCTTCTGTACTCGTTGTGTGTGTCGCTTCTTTGTGGTCTTTATTGTTGTTTGACATGTGTGAATAAACTTAAATGTCCTCAACCTTGTTAACACGTGTTAATAAATTTATACGTCATCAACTTTGTTGTCATAAACTTAACACAGATCAATTAATAATAAAGATCACAAAAAACAAAATGAATGCACAAGATTTGATCTGAGATGGCTTTCCTTGGAAGGCAGATTTTATGAAATTAATAGTAACAAAATCATACTCCATGAGTGTAATTATGATCCACTCACTCCACCAAATCCTAGTTAAAACATGTGTACCAAAATTTCATTGACTATAAAGCTAAATTAACGGAAAGTATTCACTATGCAGCAAAAGGTGGTCGATCCGCCGTCTGTCCATCAAATATATACAGGAAGTGACCCTTTTCATCGAGTCTCACCCACTACATCTTGATCGGGAGAAATATTGTTGTACTGGTACGTTTTCCTCTCACATAGAATGAACTTCTGCGTACGTATGAGTATCAATTTTTGTGAGAGGACACCATACTTCAAGTACATATGTCCTTCACATAGAATGAATTATTCATGCATGTGAGTTCCGCCTCTTGTGAGAAAACATCAAACTCGCATCCAAACTTTCTTTTATGTACAAGTGAGAGTTAAAATTTTAGCCTAGAAAGGGTTTAAAAGTCTCAATTCAAAACGCTATCTTAATTTTACAAAAATTACTCCGTCGTGCGGTAAGCAACTGACCACCGTTGTTTGGGTTTGGTATGGTGTTGTCGTCATCATCCTTTTTCTTAAACCTAAATTCCAAGCATCTCTAACTTTCTTCTTCTCTCCTCCCACTGATTTCCAGATCATAGTCATCCGCAAAGCTCATAGGCAACGAATTTAGAGTTAAAAAGTTGGATTAAGAGCCTAAGTCTACGATAAAACCTTAAAAGGACAGTACTAAATTTTTTTGTCCAAAATAAATCAAAATGGACCTGGAACCATCTTGGTCCCTTCATGACTTCGCCTCTACTACACAAGTAACTCATTGAAGTTGTTATGGCATATCATCCTTCAACTTGATAACTTGTCATTGTGCCGGTGACTAGACTATGGACACGGGAGCATTGTCACAATCTCTGTCCTAATTTGATTATTCAATGGTAGAAGTTTAGTGGTTCAATGCTTTATAAAATGGTAGAAGACAATGCCATGTCAAGAGTTTTTGACTTAAAAGTTAGGAAATCTCAAGTAAGAGTAGTTTATGTGGGTATGAACAAAAATTTATTACTAGTTTATAATGTTGTCTCTCTTTTTAGTAAAAGGCAAAGTACATGGACTGTGTTTTTTTTTAGGTTTTGACACAAAAATATAGTTCATCTATCATTATCCAACCAACCTCCATGTGGGGCTTCCGGATTTTGTTTTTTTTTTAAAAAAAAAACCCTCTAAGTTTAGAAATCTTTTATGGAATAGCTGGGTATTGCTCTTTGAAAATGTGAGATATTTTTGAAAGTTTTTCTCTAACAACTCGATGAATTGCCTCTATGGGCACTTGACAGGTTAACTGCTGGCCTCAAGCCTTTGCTTGCGTTGCTATTGGCATATGTTGACATCTAGCAACATGCTTACTCGAAACCTATTGCATCAGTCGACATACTCATTCGAAAGTTGTTGGCATCTGTCAACTGACATGCAATATAACTTGGCAAATGATTATTTCACCATTTCACCATATGCAATATATGAAGTCGAAGCATCCTCTTGAGTCCTAGACCTCTTTTCATTTTATTAGTCGATGATTACACATTAATCTTATGTTGATTATCTATTAATTGGGGCATTTGAACCGTTCGATCTATCAAATATTCTACGATGATTGGTACCAAATCACAAAAAGATTATGCTTCTGTTACCCCTTCCTTACTTTAAAAAAATTAGATCTTTATGATTTTACCATATAAAAACGAGAAGGCCTTCTCCTTGCTATGAAATTTTCTAAAAGTGGACCCCACGGCTCTCTTCCTACCGGCTACAAAATCTGACAATATTTTGACCGTTACGATACACGATTCAAAATTTTCAAAAGCAACAACCTTAAACATTGATTGCTTCCTTCACCTCCATTTACCCTAAAAATTCAAATCAAATTACTTTATCAGTTTATCTGGACCAGCAAGAAGCAGAATCTGGAGTGGAAGTAACAATTACTTTCAAAAGCTGACACTACCCCCCCCGTTCATCTCCCTCAATCCAACGGCTCAAAAGTCAAAACCCTCCAAGGTTTAAATTAATACCCAAGTCAGTCGTCGATCGCTATTCCATTTCTTCAACAGGAGGAACATTCAATTGGTTTCCAACGAAAAGATTTGTACTTTCTGACAATTTAAGCAGTCTCTTCAATTGGGTCGGCAGGAAAATCTTCTGGGTATGTTTGGATAGCGAGAAAATTGCCGAGAAAATTACAGAATGCCTGTGTCGACTCGGTCCCAGACCAACTCAGTGGAGAGAAGCAAACCCGGTCCAGATCAAGAACCGAGCCACGCGAATCTTCCGCTAAGGAACCCACATCATGGATTGAAGGAAAAGATGAGAGCTTTGACGCTGCTCTACGAGCAGCAGAAGCAGGCCGCGGCGGCGCTGAGGAACCCGAATCCGAAATCCGATCCGGAGCAGCTCCGATTCGCGAGCCACCCGAGCGTCGAGCTTCTCGGTTCTTGTAAAAAGGAGGAGAGAGAAGAACCGAAGCAGGGGAGCCACCACGTGATGAGAGAGAACAACAGCAACGCAATGCACAACTCCACCGTTACCAGAACTTACGTTCTGCCACAGCCGCCGCCGACCCACGCCAAGGAGAATGTGGCGGCTGCGGGATTAAACGACCGGATTCTCAGCTTTACTTCGTGTCCAAGAAAGGCCAAGGCTTCAACCCCGGTGGCGAGGAGGCTGTCAATGGGAGGTCACGTGCAGCACGTGCCGGGCCGCCGCGGGAGTCCAGGTGGGGTGGCTGAGGGGGCTAGGAATGTGCAAGAATCGGAGACCCCTTCGGTTTCGGAGACACCCACGAGTCGAATTCTTGTGTTTGTTAGGCTGAGGCCGATGGCCAAGAAGGAAAGGGAGGCGGGTTCCAGATGCTGCGTTCGAATTGTGAACCGGCGGGATGTTTACTTGACGGAGTTTGCGAACGAGAACGATTATCTGCGGCTGAAGAGGCTCCGGGGACGGCATTTCATGTTCGATGCTTCTTTCCCTGATTCCACTTCTCAGCAAGAAGTTTATTCCACCACGTGAGTTTGGTTTAATTGGATATTATTAATCAGTGATTGATTGGATATAATTGGTGTTTTGGATTCTGCTTGAAAAAATCTTGGAACTTTGCATATAAAAATGTTCGAATTCGTCGTTACAGTCGTAATCGTGTTTGGTTTGATTCAATATTCGTATTTGTTTGCTGAGAAAAGCATGGTTCTTGTTGCGCTGGATTGGATCCCAAGAAATGGAAAATACTCTACAGCCTATGCTAGTGGTAGTGTTAGTTTCGAATTTTCGTGTCCCGTAAAATTTCTCAGTAACCAAACAGAAAGAGCAACCAACAATATTGTGAATTGTGAATGATGTGCTGTTAATGTTGTTTGTCTCAGTAATCCTTTCCATTTTAATGTGTAAGTTTTAACAAAACCGGTATGCCGTCTGTTTTTTCAGTACAGCTGAGCTTGTGGAGGCAGTTCTGCAGGGGAGGAATGGATCAGTATTCTGCTATGGTGCCACTGGAGCTGGAAAAACATACACAATGCTCGGCACGCTGGAGAATCCGGGAGTGATGGTTTTGGCAATCAAGGACCTCTTCACCAAGGTAAGGCAGAGGAGCTGTGATGGAAACCATGTGGTTCATCTGTCCTATCTTGAGGTCTATAACGAAACCGTGAGGGATCTGCTCTCCCCCGGAAGGCCTCTTGTACTTCGAGAAGACAAACAGGTCTGCCTCGTATCTTGCATCTCACATTACTTTGCTTGCAACTCACAAGGAAATGCATTTGTGTAAGAGTAATAGTGATGTCATATATAGTATGTGTTTGCTGTGTGTGTGCGAAAACATGTACAAGGGAAAATCTAAGAGCTATGTAGTTTCTTAAATTGAAACTAGCTGCAGTATTTCGACCAATCCAATCTTAGAACATAGTGTTTCTAGCTGCAGTTCTTAATGATGTTAGTGAAAATCAATTTGTGTTCAAATGTATTGCAGGGAATAGTGGCAGCCGGTCTTACACAATACAGAGCTTATTCCACCGATGAAGTAATTTCTTAGTCCCTTTTTGGATGCTTTGAAAAGTTAGATGCTTTGCTTAGAAGTTAATCTGTTGTTCGGTCTTTCTTTTGGTTTGTGGCAGGTTATGGCATTACTTCAGCAAGGAAACCAAAACCGAACTACTGAACCAACTCGCGCTAATGAAACTTCCTCACGGTCCCATGCCATTTTGCAGGTAACAATTGAGATATGGCTTGTTGAGTTCTGAAAACTTGCAATTATTATGACTCAATTTGATTGTTTCTTTCTAACTTGATCTCCTTGTATATCCAGGTTGTGATTGAATACCGAGTAAAAGATGCTTCTATGAATGTGGTCAACCGAGTAGGGAAGCTCTCACTAATTGATCTTGCCGGGTCAGAGAGAGCCCTTGCCACGGACCAGAGAACAGCTAGATCTCTTGAGGGTGCCAATATAAATCGGTCACTCTTAGCACTGAGCAGCTGCATCAATGCTCTTGTGGAAGGAAAGAAGCACATACCTTATAGGAACTCAAAGTTAACCCAACTTCTTAAGGATTCTTTAGGAGGAGCTTGTAACACTGTGATGATCGCGAACATCAGCCCATGCAATCTCACCTTTGGTGAAACCCAAAACACGCTTCATTGGGCAGATCGAGCAAAGGAAATCAGGACTAAGGTCAGTCCTCCTAACTTATCCAATCTTTTAAGTGCCATAAGCTATTGGACAGTTTTGTTTTGCTGCATTACTTGCTTGTCAGCAGACATTGGTTTCTATTGTCCTTGAAATTTCATACTTTCATGGCAACTCTAGATAATGTCTCTTTCCTTGTCATTTTACACAATTGCAGGCGTGCGAGGTGAACGAGGAGACACTGCAATTACCGGAAACTGATACTGATCAAGCCAAGCTATTGCTTGAATTACAGAAAGAGAATCGTGAACTGCGAGTACAACTTGCACACCAGAAACAGAAGCTATTAGTTGTCCAAGCACAATCCTTTGCTGCAAATGCCTCTCCAACGCCTTCTTCGGTTACATCCCTCTTGACTCCTCCAACTTCTGCCCAAGCAAATGACAAGCGGAAACCCAGACCCTCTTTCTTGACCCGGACTTGCTTCACACCAGAGTCCAAGAAAAGAGGGGCTGAGGAAGCAGTTAAAGATCTTCGCCGGACTGTAAAGACATTGGAGGCAGAAATAGAGAGGATGAAGAAAGATCACACTTCACAGCTAAAGCAGAAAGATGATATCATTCGTGAGCTTTTGAGGGAAAGTGAGAAAACACCAGGAGCAGGGAGGGAGGGTGGGGAAAAGAGGGCGGTGACAAGGACTAGCGTGAGACCGCAGGAGCCGAGCACAAAGAGGATCGTTACAAGAGCTAGCATGAGAAAACAGGAGCCAAGCATTGGTGAATTGAAGAGCCCAAGTCACCGTTTCAGGTCACCAGTCCCAACAGCTAAAAAACGAAGCTTTTGGGACATAACAACTGCAAACAGCCCATCAGCTGCTACATTAAATGGAAGAAAAACTAGAAGCCATGTCATTTCTGAACCTGCTGCAGCTCCCTCCATGCTTCTTCAGGTAATCTAATTGTTCTCATCGTCTTCCTTTCCTTCATCTTGTTTCTGATGAAAGAAAATTGTAGCAAAGAATCGCATGCGTGTCTGAAACTTCACAACAAAGCCTCCTTCCCCCAAAAGTCTCGTGGCCTCTCCTACCTTTTTAATCTTTTATGTATAAGTTTCATAGTTCTGCAACTGATGCAGCTTGCCTATCCATGTTTCTGGTTTGTGATATTTTTTGGACCGCACATCATCAATTGTGCCCCATTCAGCCAGGTTTTGCACGACAAAAGCCCGAGCGTTTGAAGTAACACGGGAGGGAGATGGTAGAAGAAAAGAGAGAAAAAACTACTTAGGTCAATCTGGAAGATGGAAAGACGATGGCATTCTGGCAAAAGCACTTCCTACCAGCAATATTTTCTCTGACGGATCGAGCCCGTAGTTCAACATGGAAGAAAAATTGTAACTTTGTAGGTGGCGCTGCTGTTACTTGTATGCCATCTTTCGTCATACGATTTCATTTGTGGAGTTTGCAGAACATATTCCATTAGTTGTTTTCAATCTTCAGAGTTGTCCATTATTTATTCCAAATCAATAAACTTCAGTCTGTAAATTCGCAGTAATCATTTCTTGCTTCATATTCTTTGGGCCCTATATGTCAATTCCTGAATGAACTGGGGAACAAGATTCAACCAAATGCAAAACACCAGCTGCTCTTGGCAAAAAGGAAAATCTACCAGCAGCATCTGCATCACTATATTCACTGAACGCGGCTACTTTCTTTGTAAAAACTTGATTACTATACGCTGCAACGTAGCTCCAGGTTTGTAACAGGATGTGTAACTGGAAAGAAACGCAGGTTTTGCACAACATACTTAACCTTCAAACTATTATATATTTTTTATAACAACGCTCAATCGAAGAGAAGTTCAAAATAACATTTGCATTATACGAAATAAATAGTTTAGAACACGAGATTTGACACAAACCTCTACTCTCTGGATAGATTACGCTGCCACTTTCTATAACAACAACAACAAAGTCCTTTTCTCACTAAGTGGGGTCAGGCTATATGAATCCTAGAACGTTATTGCGCTCAGTTCTGTGTCACAGTCTTCGTTAGATCCAAGTACTCTAATTCTTTTCTTAGAGTCTCTTCCAAAGTCTTCCTCTACCCCTTCGACCCTGAACTTGTGTCCAGTAATCGCATCTTCTAATCAGAGCGTCAGTAGGCCTTTGTTTCATATGTCTAAACCACCGTAACCGATTTTCTCTCATTTTTCCTTCAATTTCGGTTACTCCTACTTTACCTCGGATATCCTCATTCGTAATCTTATCCTTTCTCGTGTGCCCACACATCCAACGAAGCATTCTCATCTCCACTACACCCATTTTATGTACGTATTGATGCTTCACCGCCCAACATTCCGTGCCATAAAGCATTGCCAGCCTTATTGCCATCCTATTAAATTTTCCCTTGAGCTTCAGTGGCATACAACAGTCACACAACACGCCGGATGAAATTCTATATTCGAAAGCACTCTATTTTTAAGCTGGTTCATAGCGTGATCTTTTGCCTCTCCTTCCTCCAAATGCTTGAGTTTTGGTAAATAGGAAAGACAGGATCAGCATTAATGTATTCCTGAGAAACAACAAAAGAGTGACGAACAGCATAATCCAACAAAATTAAAAAGTAAAAAAACAAACATATCAATGGTAGATACCAACCCCTCTATAAATATTCATCGTGAGATCTCTAGCTGAGAAACACAGCATGAGAGATGGGTGAAGGCAAGACTAAGGCCGCCAACGTCGTCAATGGTCAAACAATCCATGGATACCTCAACCAGCAAAGGTACATTACTGAGAAGCAAGTCTATCTTATCGTCAATGCTAATAAACGAAACAAGGTTCGTATCACAAATCTCAACACGTTCGAGCCTACTGCAATTCTTTAGCTCTAATTACCAAACCAATCGATGAACTGGCAACTCTTAAGTTAACCAAACGTGCAGTGCAAGACACGGATAATCGTTTCAAGCAATGGACTGTGCGAAACGAAGTGCTCAAGAACTTTTCCGGTCACATCAACATTATTGAGAAAAAGAAGTTTGAGGGACTTAAACCCAATGCTATGGTTCAAACCGGACCCTTTTCCATTGCAATTGAATCCAATTATCTATGGATCTTCTGAAGCGATCCTCTCATCTATGGTTCAGAGTGGACCCTTTTCCATTGCAACTGCAAAAAACAAGCCCGGAATTGTTCGATGTTAGGGAGAGTATGCTGTTCAACCACATGATTGACTCAATCGACGTACGCATGCCTTTCTTGCTCCCGCATGTTTGGAAGGAGGTCCCTGAAGCCGCTCAAAGTTTTACCGGCATCAAAATCGAAATTCATAGTAAACCAGGCCCAGGCATGCCGCCATCCCCTGGAGAGGACACTGGTGGCTACTGCTTCCTTTAGCGGCAAGAAAGAAAATATAGTAAGAGTTTCATCAGGCAAGAAATACTCCATCGGACAACTTACCTTGTCTTGGACAAATTGATCAGTAGTTTGGTCTACTGGCTCCTCCATTAATCTGGCAGTGGTTTTCTCACGTCGGGGATTGTGTTGTAGGAGGACTGCGAACTCTGAACCCTAAACCGTAAACCCTAAACTTTGAAAGACACTGGCGTGAATACTTATTTTATTGGTTTTCTCATGCCAAAAACTGATCATTCCAGCTCCTTCCCCAAAAGAAAATCTACCAGCATCGATCTACAATAGTGCATGAAATATCTTGTGCATCGCTATTTTCTAGACGCCGCTATTTTTCTTCTATAAACTTAACTTAATTACCATAAGCTGCAAAGTTGCTCCAGTTTTTCTGCTGAATTCAACCACCATGAATCTAGCAACTGGAAAAGAGTTCACATATGATGTCAACATACTCCAAGATAGAATAACCTGCTATACATAGGCAATTTAGATGGGTTAGATGCAACCGAATTCTATAAATGGTGGCGTTCTTGGTTCATGATTTGTAAGAGGGTTCGTAATATAGGTAATTACGGGACGTCATTGTGGCGATATCCTAAAACAATGAATCATGCCATGTAGAAAAGTTAAAACACATAACATGACTTGATTAGTCTGAGATACCGTTACAATATAAGGGTGTCCCTAACTCAGACCTAGATGTGCATATCAAGACCAAAACTATGATAATTATCCAACCCCGACCCCCCCCCCCCCCCCCCAAACCCCTCCACCTCCTCCCTCCCAAATAAGGCCACTTGACTCAAAAAGCCAATCCACTTCTCATAATCCGGCCCCTAATTCTGCTTAATTATATTAATTAACCTCCATTAATTTCAACTTTCAAGCATAATCTAGATAATCCACTTGTCTAATTAAGGTAAAATATATATGGGTGCGCAAAGAAAAGTTGTTTCTGCGTTTCAGCAGCTCTTCAAGCACGGGGCTCAGAGCCTTGATTTGGTCCCACCATAACTGCGTTTCAGCTTAAATGTGCTTTAGCACCTTCAAGGCCTTCATTTTTGTCAACTTAATGATTAAGCAAATAATCACTTCATCATTTTAATTAATTAAGATAATAGCTGGGCCAAATTAAAAAAAGCCAGAGTACACCTAATTAAGAGAGAGACAGTTGTAAACTCATCACAGTGTAGGCCTTGGACTTGCAATATACAGGTGTTAGTAACAAGGAAGGGATGGGAAGGAACAAAAATAAAAGGGGAGAGAACCCTCTTCCCTCGAAAATAAGTCATCGTGCATTGATCAAATATAAAAAGAGATACGGGTTTAGTTACACTAAGAGCAGCATGCATGATGACTTTCATAGAGTGCTAACAAGAATTTCAGAAAAGAAATATATGGTTTAAAATTCATAGATATCATTATGCTTTCTAACATTTTGCATGTGATCAATGTTTCTCATTTGTTTTCTACATACTACACGACAGACTTATCTACAACGGCGATGCTAATGGTTTGTGGAGGTATCCCAAACCAATTCACTACCATCCGTTTTAAGTTTTCAACAAGGCAGTGTGCAAGGCTTAGGATACCGTCATCCATCGCATTGAAGACCTTCTCCTACTTCATAGTCATCGTACAATGCTCATTCAACACAGCCTACGTACAAATGCAGACAGTAATGCGGCTGTGGGCAACAAGCAAAAATTGTACAATGACCCTATGGAAATGAATTCAATTAAATGTTGTACTGTGTCTATATAAAGAAAGAAGATACCCCAAGCCAACAAGGCTCATGCTTGTGCTTTGCGAGGGTCGCAAAAATAATGTCTATCCACTATCATACATAACATTACTCTTGTTTTACAAATATGATGTTTCCTCTGTATGTGTGAATATCCAAGTTTTTTTTCTTGGTTTTATTTAATATTATTGCAGGTGCTGAGTGCTAAAGAGCTTGGGTCGTATTTATTGGAATAATAATTGTATAAAGCAATGGCCTTGCCTAGACAACTTTAGGTCCAGCCACCAACTTTTGCATCCTTTGAAAGAATGATGACTGGATGATCAAAACGACCCTCGGTTTCTGTGACAAGATAATCCTTATCCTCTGGCGGAGGGATAGGTTTTGATCCGAAAATGATTTCAGCACTCTTTTTTATGTTTTACAAAACTCATGCGTCTTGATCTCATTTAATTTGTTCAATTTAATGCCTAAATAAATAGAGAAGTACAAAGAATGAGGAAATTGTGTGCAAAAATCATTTTCTGCTTTAGTCGAGATGTAAACACATACCATTTTGAAAGGTTAAAGCCAAAGGGCTCTCTCCCCACTCTTTTCATTGCAGCTGCAGAGAGAGAAGAAAGAAAAAAGAAGGCATACTTGAAAGCCATCAAACTAGGGCATGTTGGCATACTTGCCCCATTCATTCCACCATAAATTCTTAAATCCGCCTAGTCCGTACACGCCAACACACTCATACGAGTTCCTCTCGATCTCGTCTTTTTTTAAGTATGCTGCCATATACGGACACCGCAAATATCCACAGTTGATGCGTTGTACCATAAAAGGTCACATTACTGGGGACAATGTAACAAGGATGATTTAAATTCAGCAGGGAATCAAATGCCAAACTGGAAAAGCAGTCAACAAGATTAAATTCAAGGAAAAAAAAAAAGATATTAAACAAGAAAAACAAAAGCAGTCAATCATAAGAAAAGCCAAAATTCTGCTGTCAGGAATTGGATTTGGAATTTTTGCTCTTTTAAATATTTGTTTTTGCTTTTGATGACTTCTATGATTACTTTGGTAAAATTTTATATTGGGATCATTTGTCACACAAAATTATATAATCAAAAGCAATGATTGGAAATTGGAATTAGCCTATACTTTTGGACCAAATGCCTTAAATCATATGGGAAGATTGTGTGAGAAAAAGTACACTACTGCTCAAGGATCCAACCTAAACAGGGAAAGGAAATTAAATAGTATACCAAAAAAATTAGACACTAAACATATCATTGAAGATTATCCCACACAGCAAATAAAGAGAAAAATTGCATCATTAGTTATTGGATAATTCTTGTGTTCCTTCGAGGAGAGATTTTTCAGCGTGCTCTGGAGCAGATTTGACAAAACGCCATATGTTATTATATAATCGGATGAATACTTGAAATAAAAACTTCTCTGTAATTGTGTAATAACATGTGGTGTATCGTCATGTGTTCCGGGCATATTGAAAAATTTCTCCTCCTTGAGAGGATGAGCTGGTTCCTCCATTTGATATGAACCAATCATGTCTTAACACATTTTCATTCTTTTAAAAAGAAAAATCAAATAACAAAGACGCTCTGCCACACAGTACTACGGTTTGGTGGTATTCCTCCTCACTTATAAGTAAGAGGTCTTAGGTTCGAATCTCATGAATGGAGAATTCGATAATAAATTAGGCTGCTCATTGTGTGGCTTAGTCGAACTCCCTCTTCCCCTAATGTAAAAATATTGATGTACTAAAAAATAAAATAAAATAAAAAAGCCATAATTTATAGAAACTTCTAATCATGCTCAAACTCATAATCTGGATTTATTAAAAAAAAAAAATCAAAAACATGAACACGTGTCAAGATATCGTTAGTCCATGTCAAAGGTAGGAACTTGCTCATCCTTAATTATTTTATTTTGGTTGCTATGCATCATTTGCAGCCTTCTTATGATTTGAGTACTAAAGTTCAAGCAGCCTGTGATCTCATACGTTTTGTATAATTTACCTAAAACATTTTTGGTTATGCAGATTGGAGGAAAAGGAGAAAAATAAAATGTATAGTTCCTTTTATAGGGGTTTGGCCTCTTTTTTAAATTAGAAAAATTAGCATTAATTTGAGGTTAATTAGGTAATTGTAGGTTAAGGCAGTGTGCTCGTCCCTCATGCAACTTAAGTTCAAACTTCTCCCTCGTAGATTTAAAGAGGTAAACATTAATACAAGGAAATATATACCTTTAGAAGCCAATGCATTCGCTACAAAATTAGTTTAATTTGATTGAACAGTCCATACACCTCTTTTTACTTCTCGCACACATTTTTAGTTTTCGACCGTCGGATCAGATGAATTGAAGAAGATCATCGGGCATAAATTAACAATGGATGTGTGAGGAGTAAAAAAGGGTGTGTGAATAGCACACCCATTCTCAAAAGAATATGATGTTGGTTGAATGTTTTTAATGATAGTCAGCTTCAAGAGAACTTTAGATCAGGTCCAAATTATCTCCTCTAATTTCTTTCTATTTGAACTGTTCACGATTGAGCCACGTTAACATCTTGTGTTGACTTCTTTACCGTAAGAGAAAGACAGAGGAAAGTGAGCGAGAATGAGAGAAGAGGAGAAGATATTTAGAGAGGAACGAATCCTCTATTTAGATCGTAGAGTAATCAAATCAATGGATTAAAATAGTTTACAACATTAACAAAAAATGCAAATTAAAGAGGAAAATCATGAATCATGATTAAAGCATTAGCATCCTTGTCTCATCATAACTTCATTAAGGATTGGAAAAAGCTATACATATACCCTCCACACCTACCCCATCATGTTATATTGTATTTCCCCCCACCACCTAAACTAAACAAAATATGAAAAATACAATAAACCCCACTAAACATTTTCTCCAAATATACCAAACACAAAATAAATTTAAAACAAAAAATAAAAACTGCTTGCAGAGAACTAGCTACACTTCCACATTCCAATTTCCAGATTGATCAGAGCTAAAACTGAAGTACATATCGGAAATTCGAGCGGCGGAGATGCGAATTCGTGCAGCTTTTCGGGTTTATTAGACTCGGAGCAAGTAGATACTGAGCTCAGGAGCTCCATTGCTATCAGGGTTCATCATGTAGAAGGCCTCAGAGTCTCTAGACCCAACAATTCTCTCAAACTTGGCCCTCATGTACATGAGTTCGCCGTCGGATTCGGACCCGGCTTCAGCTTCATTCCCTTCCACCGCCGCAGACGGCGGCAGCACACCAGCCCCCATTGAAATGGGCTCCACAGCTTTCAACACCTTCCACTCCTTGGCCCCACATTCTCTTTTGCTAGCAAAACCATATTTCTTACCGTTGCAAAAAGTTCTCCACACTGGCTCTTCCAGCAGCCTCAGAGATTTCTGATCTTTCTTCTTTTGAAGATCTGCTTTGTGATCCTTGTCACACTCCAACGCAATTCTGACGAGGCCGGACGCCATTTCTTTTACCAACCCGCTGATCGGCGTTGCAAGCTCGATCAAGAAGGCCGGATGTGAGCTAGGGTCTCTCTGGAGTGCAAAATGTACGTGGCCACGCCTTGAGCCGAAAAGAGTGCCTACCACTCGGGGTCCCAGCCCAAGTGGTAGGCTAGATCGGTTCTTACCAAAAGTGGTAAGAACAGACCGCAACCTGGAAACTGCAGCCGCTTGCAGTTTCCTCCTGGGAAGTTGATGAGCCTCATGACCATGCTGTTGTTTTTGATGATGATCATGCTCTTGTTTCTTCTCCTCCTCCTCGTCGGATTTTGGTTTCGACGCAGAGGAGGAGGATTTGAGGCTCGGAAGAACTACATGATCAACATCATTTTCTTCTTCTTCTTCGTTGCCAACTTTGTTTGTCCAGAGGAAGTGTCTCTTGGAGGAGGAGTCCTGCAAGCTCCTTGCCATGCTCACTGCTTTCATATGAGAAAGCAATCAGTGGGAAGAGGGGAGTCCTTAAAGATGGTTTGGTGGGTAGAGAGAGAAAGAGAGGAGAGAGATAGAGAGTGGGGATTCTGGTCTATTCCTTCCTTCACTTTTATTGATATGTGGGGGGATTTCATTTCATTAATTCTTTGTTTCTAGCCCTTTGTTGTAGCCAAAGAGAATCCTGACAAAAGAAACACAGCCTGACCCACCAACTGAATGAGGAACTGAGGAGAGAGAGGGAGAGAGAGAGAGGGAGATTTGAAAAATAGAAAAGAAAGGAATCTAAGGAGACAATGTGCCTTGTTATTTCACTTTCTGGTGGGGTAGAGAGGAGAGGGAGAGGGAGAGGGATGTTGCTTGACTGACTCTTTTGACTTGAAATCCCCAAAACAGCAAAGAGATGGCAACCAAAGCCCAAACAAACCCAAAGCCATCGCTATTCCCACCAGACATGCTCACCACAAGTCACAAGTCTCAACACACCCTTCCATAACTCAGGAAAAGAACTTTCATGAAGCGAGTACATTATCATGCTGATATTCCAAACCAATTCGTTATCATGTAAGATACTTAACGTTCACGTGGTGTTGCATTCAATTGATTGATTGGTTTGTGTACCCATACCAATACTATGAGAAACGACATCACTTGTAACAGTATCTCAAACTAATCATGCATATTATCTTACAAGGAATTCAAAACGTATTGTAGTGTATCGTTGATTTGAGAGACTTGTCACAAACTATTTTAAATGACAGTGCGTGATTGGTCTGAAACACTGTCGTTGTGTTTGATTGGTAAGTTTCTCACCATGGCCCACACCCATGCCCATGTCCACTTCTAGTTGAGAGGTGCACCAGGTGGTGGTGGTGTTGTTTGTTGGGGGTTCTCATTAGAACACTGTTATCTCATGGGCTATGTTGGGTGCAGAGTCTACACATCACCTACCTGCGAACTGACGCTTCACTGTTTGTGGGGACCCAAAAACCAAACCCTTATTCTTCCAATGAAACATTGAAGCATCGCTTTCCTCATCGACTAGAATCTATTTGTAAGCCTCTCAATGTGGCCTTACCACATCTCTTGGTGCTGTACGAGTTTTATGAGGAATGATTTTTACAACGAAAAACGCTTCCGCTTGTGACCTATCGGAATGGTCCGCAGGATGATCTGAAAGCGTAAGAAAACTCTAAAGGAACTTTCTTTCGTAAGTTGCTGCATCCCATTGGATGTTTTGTGAAAGGAAAAAGAAAACACAAATGCAACAGAGTAACCTTGCAAATGCAGTCTCTATCGAGAAACGACGCTAAAAGAACACAACTCTTTTCCAAACTAATAACTAAACAAAGCCAAATAATTACATACAGTTGCGGCACCAGGAGTCAGACAATCTCTTACTAGTTACATGAACTTATAGACAAGGATCCATAAAGAAAATACAACTTCGCGTGCATATGGACATAGGCCAGCACACTCCCTACTGAATGGGTTTTTTCTTCTTCTTTCTTTTGTACATATAAGAGAAGCACAAATGGATAAGTCGAGGATACTTGCCTACGGTTCACGAAAAATAAAAGGTCCTAAGGTTAGCTCTCTAAACTTTGTTCAGGGTCTGGTTGCTTGGGCGCAGTGGCTCCACCATTCATTCTGGCACGTGCCTCGGCAAACATCCTCTGTTGCTCAGCCAAGGCTTCTTCCTCTGTCATCTCTGCTCCGTTCCCCCATTTGACACTTTTTGATAAGTCATGCTGCAATGAATACCACTTGCATCAGTATATAGTTTTATGTTGCAAGTTCATGACTGCTTGACAATTTATAGACATGTGAACTAGTTGACTAGTTGCATGCTTTAGCACCCAACACAACGGCCCCTGGTGCAACAACAGGCACCAGTTTGACATTTGCTTGTATAGAGGTACTGCCGGTTAAACCCAGCTGCACAAAAGATCAATCCCTAACTCTCAACGTTCCACTGAATAACTGATGTCTTGTTTTAAGTTATGGCAACTTCAGTCTTGCATAAGTTGAATGAACATAGAAGGCATCATGAACACTTACCATAGTCTCAAGCTTGTGTTGTTCATATGCTGAATAAACTTCCTCAATGTACTCGCTAAACCCAAGAACCTGATACACAGAAGAGAACAAATGTCATGATGCAGCCATTGTAAGCATCTCACATAGTATATGAATATAATTGCTCTTCATAAGCACAAATTAGGGGTTACAATTTAAGCTTAATGCACAAATATGCATCTCATTCGAGAATCCACATAGATCAATATGACAATAACTATCATGATAGAAGTATGAACTACACAGAGATAACGCCTGCACGTATAAATATACATACGTATGCATAGACTGATAGACATACTAACATACCACACTATTAAACTACCAGACGCACAATGGACAACAACAATTTAGGAAAATAAATCAGACCATACAAAGAATCAAATTTATAAAACTGAAAACATGTTCAACTGGGTTGTTCACAAACCTGTAAAGCCTTGAGTACATGCTCGGGAGCTATTGTTCTTTTCTCCTCTCTGCTACAAACTTCATTAGACTCTGATGAGATGAGATTTATAAACTCTGCAAACGCAATAACGCAAGTCTGAATGCTTTTCTTCAGTAATAAAGAAAAATAAAACATCCGTCAAAGCACTAAGGCAGTAGACAACACTTCAAACCCCAAAGTTATGGGGCAAAGAAATAAGTTAGGAGCAATTCCAACAGCTATAGCCTATAAAAATCCCAGAAAATCTGAAAACTAACTTTATTTTAATGTTGCTTCAAGCTTATTGACTAAAACATGTCACATTTGTAATCGAAAAAAGCATCTAGTGTATTAGCTGAAACTACTAGGTTTGACGTGCAGAACATGCTATTGGCCAAAACGAATAAGGGTTTAATCTATACAGAGATCAAGATACTAAGATAGATGCATTAGCAGTAGCAAAACTAAAGCAATTTTGAATTAATGTACAAATGTAAAACATAAACTAAAGATAAACTACTTATATATTCTCACCTACGCAACACTCAATCAAAAGATCTTGAGCATCTCTTGCGACACGTACATCTGGCGGCAACATCTCTTTAATGATTTTGGTCATGGTTGCTGAACATGAATATTAAATCATAAGCTACACGTACATCTGGCAGCAATATCGTGTATAATAAACAGTATAAGATGCCCCTACTGGGAATTCACAAACACAAAGAAACCATGAGGAGCACAAAGAGAGATGATAAAAGTATAGACACATATGATGCAGTGAGAGAGATAAATGATTACAAGGACATACTACTAGACAAGTAATCGCACAAAAGTTTGTCACGCCTGGTAAAGGCTTAGCCTCAACACGAGGAAACATGAATTAGCACCCAACCTAATGCTTGTTCTAATCACATGCAGGAAGCAGTACTTCGCAAGCAAATTCGGGGCCCCTAACCAGCAAGCAAATCATGCATACCTCCTTCCATCCAAATGAAATTTATTTTTAGGAGTTTTAATTCTGATTTCTTTGTTTATACAGTCCCACTCGCTATTCGTATCCGAAAAATCAATTTCTTGAAACCCTTAATTCAATATACAAGATTTAGTCAATCAATATTTTCAACCAATCTTTAATTAATCAATTTACGTAAGCAATTAGTTCAAAATAAAGAACAGCAGCAAACCCCCAAATCCTAGGGCACTAATTTTGTCGAAATCGTTCAATTACAAAATCCAGAGATAATTACACGAAATTAACCAAAAAAATCATGAAATCGATAAACCTAACAACAATAATCTCAAAAATTAAACGAAAAAATATACAAAAATTACGAATCCACCTTTCGGAAGCGAAGCATCTTCCTTTGACTTCCCGACGATGTCCATCGGATCCATCCTGGACCTGCGCACACAGTAAGACCCAAAAATCAGCACCTACATATTCCAAAATTCACCGAAAAAATACAAACGGAAAAAAAAAAATCACAGATCTAAAAATTCCAGCAGAACCGAGATGACTCACCTGATAACCGAGTTGAATTGGAGAGCGAGCAAGCGCGAATCTGACCGCGTAGACGACGAATGAATCAACCGATCGACGAAGATCCGAGTTGCAGGAAGATCACGATTCGGAAGGGAGACATGGTGTTGAATATATGGATTTATCAGGGGAAGGGGGTTGAGTTCTTCAGGATAAGAGAGCCAGATCTCGCTCGCAGGCGATTAGGGCAAACGAAACAAGTCTCCCCCAAAAGCGCGTTGATTTACGAGTCCACCACGCGCGTCGTTGAGGAGTTTTCGACGGCCGTGCGTTTCGCGGGGTGAGCGGTTGGCGGGTGCTGCGCACGCGGAATGGGGACGCGTGGTCGTTTTTTGGATTGTTGGGTTTTGTTAGTGATAGGGTCTTGTCTCTCATCTTCCATGGAAAGGAGCCAATGGCCTTTTGGCGCGTTTGGAAAGAACCAATGAGAGTGTGTGTATTTTTGATTTGCAAAGTAGTTTTTTTTTTTTTTTTTTTTTTTTTTTAATTTTTAATTTTAAATTTAACAATCTTAGAGATTTTTTTTAGTACATTAATATATTTTTACACAGAGAAAAAGTTTGGTTAAACCGCACAATATGCAACCTAATTTTATATCGAATTCGCTGTTCATAAAGTTCGAACTTAAAACCTCTCACTTTTAAATGAAAATGAATACTACTAAACCGTAATACTAAACGACACCTTATGAATGTTTGTGGTTTAGTACAATTAAAATGAACTCATCTTTGCAATCTAATTTAGGATAATTAAAGTCACTCAGTACTACGCTCTGATAGTATTCATCTTCACTTGAAAGTGAGAGGTCTTAGGTTTGAATCTCGTGAATAGCAAATTCGATACTAGATTATGCTACCCATTGTTTAGCTTAGCCGAACATTTTATTCCTTTAGTGTAAAAATATCGATTTACTAAAAAAAAAATCTAAAAAGGTAATTAATACTACATTTTTCCAACCCAAAAAAATGTTGGAAACGTATAAATACTTTTCGTAGTGGGCTTCGCTTTAATTTTATTTTGTTATGTCAGCCCAGACCAAATTAATCTGGGCTGGCAGCCCAAAGTGGTCGGATCCACACTCTAGTGGGTCGACTGCCGAGCCCATTCGACCCAGCAACCCAACCCAAATTACATTTTTTTTCCCGGTCCAGTAATACAAGTTACGACTACGTTCTCTGGCTTTTTTCTACCTCTCGCTCTCCTCCCTCCTCTCTCTGCTCGAAGGAGGGCTTTGCCGCGCCGGCTCGCCCTGCAGTCATCACTCTTGACGAAACCCTAATCCTCAATTAATTTTGATTACCCAGCTTCTTCTCAATCTTCAAGATATTAAGAAGTTAATCACGCAATGGCTTCAGACGAAGACGATTTCGTGTTCTACGGAACACCGATTGAGCGGGAGGAAGATTTAACCAGTCGCAAGAAGAAGTCCGTTGCTGAGGCCTTTGGTAACTTGCGTACTCTAGTTCCTTGGAAGCAAGAGGTACGTATGTTCTCTTATCTTTTGTTTGGTTCCTGAGAAAGCTCGAGAAAGTAGAAACAATGGAGAAATTTCAGTGTTAATTAGTGGAGTGTGGTAATTGAGTTTTAATGTCAGTTGTGTTGAGCGTAGAAGTTGTATGTAATTGGAGGATTGGGTTTATAGGGAAATGTGATCAGAGAGAGTTTGCAATTGGTAGTTGTAGTAATGTGTTTGGTTGATTAGAAAGTTTGAAAAGGAATTTGAAAATGCGGACTTGGTTTGGGTGGACTGGGTGCAGATTGAAATGGGTTGATTTCCATTTTGAATTTTAACATGGAAGTTGATAGTTGGCCAAACTTGTATAGCAGAATTATGCTGAGTGATTAATGTGGGATGCCGGTTTTGTTTTCTTTATCAAACAAAGTTTATTATGCATGACATTAAAGCTTTGATTAAATTTCAATTGTGCTGCTCACTGATTGATGTTTAAATGAACGGTCTGGGTTTACTTTTCTGTTGACTTTTGTGTCTCCAGGTTAGAGATGAAGAAGGGAGAAGGAGATTTCATGGTGCATTTAGTGGAGGGTTTTCTGCCGGCTATTACAATACAGTCGGCTCAAAAGAAGGTATCTTCTCACTTTCCTTTGAACTAGAAATGTGTGATTCCTTTTCTTAAGAATATTCGAGGGTAGCTAATGGTTTAAGCCATCTGAAACAAACGTGCAGGGTGGACACCGCAGACCTTTGTGTCATCGCGGAAGAACAGAGCTGAAGTCAAACGGCAGGACATTATGAACTTTTTAGATGAAGATGAAAGAGCAGTAAGTTTGATCTTGGCTTTAACCTATTACACCTATTTCATTTACATTCTTCAACTTTGGGAATATATTACAAACTGTCAATGTTGGAATCATCGCCTTTTAGAATTGGTAAATTATCTATGTTTATGCTTATTTGATGTTTAGTTATTGTAGTTATCTAATATAAACTTTACAACGAAGGGAGTGAAAACCTATTGGTTGGAAAACCATACAACCTTTTGCAATGGTTAGTTTCAATTATATGAAAATTCTCATCTAGCCAAAAATAGATTAAAAGTAGGAAATAGAGTAATTTTTTTTTTCTTTTCTAATGTTGACTGTTCTCTAGCTCTTGAAAAATGATAGTATACTTATGTTGTTGAGTTCTTATAGATATCATATCCGATGACCATGGAGTTCTTCTAGATGATGAGGACTACTGCCAATGATTTTACTTTAGAATTAAATCAGTTTTCTGATTCTTCTTCTTAACATTTAGGAACTTGAAGGCCAATATTTGGGGACGTCTATGCAGTTTGATACATTTGGATCTACAGCTACTGAACTTGCTCGTAAACAAGCTGAGAAGGAACAACAGAAAAGGTTAGGGTGTTGATCAATTGCAATTCTAGTTGAATCAATAACCAAGTTGATAATACAAGTTAGTCATTTGGATGAAAATGATAAGGTTCTGAATGCTACCCCTTGTTGTACACTGTACCCTAACCTTTAGGTTCTAGAGAGTTGTAATGCTTTCATACCATTGCTGAACAAAATTAAATTCTTCAGGTATAAGGTTGTTTGAAGTGTTAATCCCACTTTCTCTTGGAAATTTATGGTGAGAGTAGAATAATAGCATTTTTAAAATGATTTTTCTGGTTAAATGAATAAGATTAATTGTCATATTTAACATAGATTTTCTTTTTTATATGTTAATAACCGTGACATATTTTTCTTAAAACCTTGTCCTTGAAAATAGTGTCATGCATTGTTTTCTAACTTGTTGATATCTTGTTTGTCATGTATTTTAGGCCATCAGCTATTCCTGGACCAGTTCCTGATGAATTAGTTCTTCCAGCCACAGATTCTATAGGTTTGTTCCAGTAAATTTGGGTTGGTGATTGTTCAAAAAGTTTTTTTTTTTTTTTTTAATTATTAGTTGCACATCGCTTTATACCTGTTTGCTGTTTTTGATTAGGTGTGAAGTTGCTGCTGAAGATGGGATGGCGCCATGGTCGTTCAATCAAGGATTCACATACTGATTCATCATACGGTATATGTGGCTTGCAAATTCAAAATTGTTCTGAAATCAACTATTCTTGTATCGGTTGATGTGTAAGTATTATTTATTTTATGACTTGGAATTTAGAACATTAGTGTGAGGTTCTTTGCTATAAATTTAGATTTGGCATACCTAGAATACATGTAGCATGTGCGGGACTACCAGAATACATACAGTTTCATCTGATTTCTCTTGATTAAGGTCTTTCTTTCATTGCTTACAGTCTTAAACTTTTTCATGTCCTTTGTACAGATGCTCGAAGGGAAGCACGAAAAGCATTTTTAGCATTTTCTTCCAGTGGTGCAAAAACGCAGCTTGCTGACTCTGAGCCTGTTCATGGCGACATGGAGGATCATCTTGAGCTGCCTGCTAGTGATGATATTCAATCTTCTCAAAGCACACCTGTAAGTAAATTTTCTTTTCTATGTCAGTCATTCATTTGGTTTTGTTTTATTTCTTGATTCAGTATTTGGACCGTAATGGATAATTCTATTGCGTATTTGTTTAATTCATAAGTTAAGTCGGAGTTTTGGAGCTTGTTAAAATTATTCTTTAGGTATTTCAAATTTCTTTTTTAGGCAGTACACTTTTTCTCGAAGAGTTCTTGAGAACATTTTCTTTGATCATTATGATTTGTAATATTCTCTCTGTGCCTTACATATTTCCTTCAGGTTTATGTAATATACCCAAAGCAGGACCTTCACGGATTAGGTTTTGATCCTTATAAGCATGCGCCTGAGTTCAGGGGTAAGTGATTTTCTCTTCTTTTTACAGAAAACTGGGTCATATTTCTGTGATTACGAGCAATCTAATGCATCCTAACTACTATTTTTTTATTGTTTATATTCAGAGAAGAAGAGATCACACCTCTCTGAGAATAGGGGTATTGGATATATAAGTGCCCGTTCAAATGACAATAATCTTTTTGGCTTCAAGTGTAAGATTTATGATCCAGATGAAAAGCATTCCTTTTGGTGTTATAGTATAGGGTTCTGTCCTAAGAAGCATAATTATGGCAACTTGGTCGTCGCGTATCCCCATCCCATACTTAATCGGATACGATATGCGACCAATACGCCTCCAATACGTATCGGGGTGAACTGATATGTCTTTTGACTAATGGATATGGGTGTCCAACATTTGGGATACGGTTACGTATCAGGCTGAGAAGGACTGAATTATAGCCTTCTTGCGCAATTGCAGATCAGCAGATCTGTTGAATATCGCGAGGAAGAAGACGGTAGCATCTGATAATCCTCTTTATTTTCACACATCTAAACGCTACAGTTTCAGTTTCATGTGTTGTAGTCAGTTAGTGGCCACTGCCACTCAGCCCAACCACAACCACACATGTAAAGGTTAAAAAAAATTAAATGCAATTCCTTTCCAATTTGTTTGGTCTCCTATATATCTGTAAATATACCATAAATTATCTATAATATGCTTTTCTTGTATCTTATAAATTAGTAATATATACTTTCAATAGTAATGATAACAATTACTAAATGTTAATATATAATTTAAATTGTCGTGTCCATGCCGTATATATCCTAGTTTTTAATAATTTGTCATGTTGCCGTGTGGTATTGTATCGTTGCCATAACGGTATCCGTGCTTCATAGGTTTTGTCCTCTTATTGCTTTTATTTGATTGCACGGA